CCACCAAATAAACCATATAGTAATCAACTACAAGATGTAATCAACACTACTAGTCACCTCCTAGAAACAATCTATAGTTCCGGTAACAAGATTGAATACAGGAGATGAACTAGGGTTTGAGATGAGATGGTGCTGGTGAAGATGTTGATGGAGATTTCCCTCCCCAAGATGGGAGAGTTGTTGTTGATGATGATGACGATGATTTCCCCCTCCGGGAGGGAAGTTCCCCCGGCAGAGTCGCTCCGCCGGAGGGCAAAACTACTCCTGCCCAAGTTCCGCCTCGAGGCGGTGGCGCTTCGTCCCGGAAGTCCTCCTCTGATATTTTCTAGGTCAAAATGACTTATATGCCAAAATATGGGCACCGGAGGTGGGCCAAGGAGGCCACAACCCACCAGGGCGCGCCAGGGGGGCCTGGCGCGCCTAGGTGGGTTGTGCCCACCTGGTGGGCCTCCTCTGGTGTTTATTGTCTCCAGTATTTGTTAAATAATTCATAAAAAATCTCCGTGAAGTTTTGGCTTATTTGGAGTTGTGCAGAATAGGTGGCCTGACGTAGCTTTCCCAGGTCCAGATTTCCAGCTGCCGGAATTCTCCCTCTTGGTGTGTTCCTTGCAAATTATAGTAGAAAAGGCATTAGAATTACTCCAAGAAACATTATTATGGATAAAAACATTATAAATAACAGCAAGAAAACATGATGCAAAATGGACGTATCACTCTTCTCCACTGCTCACTTACCTCGGCTCCAAGTGGTCCTGCAGTAGCGCTGGCACGGGGAGACCAAGACTAGAGGGGAGGAGGAAGGAAGACACGCGACAGAGGGGGGCGCACTCCTATCGGTGAGGGATTTGGGGGAGGAGGAGGCAGCCGGATATGAGATCGATGCACCTCGGCATTGTGTTTTTCTTCTTCTTGAGGGAACCTCGGAACTGTGTGTGTCTCAGATGGTTTTGGGCCCACGGAAAATACAGCCCAGGTTGAACGTCAACGGAGGCCTACAGAGCATTTTCTGTATTCACAAACATTTTATCAAAATTGTGAACATTTTTAATTAGAGCAAAAAATTTCAAAACCACAAATATTTATTTGAATCCAATTTTTCTTAATGATTTCTAGCCTTTTCTCAAAATCATGATTTTTTTAATTCGAGAATATTATTTTCAAAATCACAAGCATTTTTTGAATCCACAATCATTTTATGATTTTCCAAACAGTTTTTCCATAATCAAGAAAAATAAATTGAATTCACTTATTTTGTGAAAATTAAAAAAAAGATACGTGGACATTATTTCATAATCACAAAAAAATTATATCTACAAACATTTTTTGATTTCTCGAACATTTTCTGAAAATGATTAAAAAAATTGAATTCGCGGACACTTTTTGGAGTCACGACACTTTTTTCGAATATGGGAACATTGTTTAAAAATCACAGAGTTATTTATAATCCTAAAATATTTTATAATTTCCTAAATTTTTTTCCAAAATCATGAATATTCTTTAAATCCGTGAACAATTTTTTGAATTCAGGAATATTTTCTCATAATCACATGCATATTTTGTATCCACAAACATTTTTGTATTCCCTAAACAGTTTTTTCAAAATCATGAACATTTTTTGAGCAAACATTCTCTGATATTCATGATATTTTTTGAATAAGCACACAATTTTTGTATCCGTGAACATATTTTAATTTCCTGAACATTTTTAAAAAGTCAGGACAATTTTTTGAATTTGCAAACATTTTGTGGTTCATGAACATTTTTTGAATACACGAACATTGTTTCAAAATCAGAAACATTTTTTGCATCCGCGGACATTTTTTGATTTCCCGAACTGCTAGCCCAAAATCATGAATATTTTTTGAATTCAAGAACATTTTTTTGGAAATTTACGTACATTTTTTTCATAATCATAGTCATCTCTTGTATCCACAAACATTTTTTAATTTCACGAATTGTTTCAAAATTGTGAACATTGTTTGAATTTGTGAACATTTTTGGATTCACATACATTTCTTCAATATCACAAACATGTTTTGAAACTGCAAACATTTAATTATTTCCTGAACAATTAATCCAAAACCATGAACATTTTTTGAATTCATGAATATTTTTTGGATTTGCCAATACTTTTTCCATTATCACAAACATTTTTCTGATTACAAGAACATTTTATTATTTCCCGAATAGTTTTCCAGAATCAAGAACATTTTTTGAATTTACGAACATTTTTTTGAATACCTGAATATTTTTCTCATAATTACAAAGATTTTGTATTCATGATTTTTTTTTATTCCTGAAGATTTTTACAAAATCACGAACATTTTTTGGATTCACGGACATATTTTTCTTTTTTTTTGAAATCACTAGCATTTTCCGAATCCGTGAATATTTTATGATTTCGTGAATAGTTTTTTCCAAAATCATGAGTATTTTTTTTAATTCACGAACCAAGCTCTATTTGAACATTTCCTGAGCTAGCCAGCACGGGGCCCATGAGAACCATTAGGTCCGCCATCTCTAGTTAGCTACTGACAGGCCGGTGGCTGGTCTTTCTCAAAAAAAAAAAAGACAGGCCGGTGGCTGGTGGTTGCTTTCGGGTACCGTTCGACGGTCACCCTTGGTGTACCATTGGCAGCCGGTTAGAAAGCTCCTAGGCATGTCAGCACTGTGTCGTTGGTTTGTCAAGCTTGGTGTTACCTATTCCAGCATGCGCCGATGTAATCAAAGTTGTTCGTCACGGTGATGTCCTATGAGTGCACATTGCTTTGTAGTAAATTCGCAGTAAGGTTTATCGATCCCATAGATAGGAATAGGAAGGCACAACAAACCCGGCAACTTGTTGTCACTTGCGCAGTTCCGTATGAACCCAAACCAAAGTTTAAAAATAGTATACTATAGTCGGTTGTTAGGGAAAACAGATTAAACATGAGTTTTACTAATCTACGAACAGAAAAGTAAAGCCAGGAATGAAAAAGATACTAAGTTAGTAGAGACCATGCTTGAGTAGTAAAGCATCCTCGAGGGTTCCAAAATCATCATACTAATATGAACTATTGTATCTCTAATCCACTCTTCAAGTGCATAAGTGGGCGATCCCGGTACAGAATAGGTTCTGCTCTAGGTAGACTCCACACCACATATGCCACCAACCATACAATTAATTCTAGAAGGGTCTAGTTCGTTTTAGGGGCTGGATAAGATGGCAGTGGATGTTAGTTTTCATGTGAAATAAATGTTGTGCCATTCAAGGTCTTGAGTCAAAAGTTATGTAAGCTCCCATTGAAATTATTCAGGAATTAATTACAGAATGAGGCTCAACAAGTTTGCTCCTACTATTGATTGGGACTCACAAATTAATCCTTCATTTTGAGTTATTTTCACACCTAACAAATACGTGCCTCTAAGTACTCCCCATCTGTTACATGTGAGGGGGATGAGATTCCTGAGTTTAAGTCTGTAAATAATCGGTGAGGTTGTGTGTGTTGTGTTGTGAGCACTATTTTCCATTGAGTATTAGGTCATGTGTGTGGATTAGAGGGCATGTCGTTAGTCCATATAGGGTCATTGTGGTCCTATATTGTGATTCTACCTAGGTTCCAATATATTTGAGAGTGTTTCCTGCTGAGCTCTGTAACTCAAAATAGTTGTTGCTAGTTGTGAGTTGTTTTGGTATCATGAAAGATTGTTCCAGCAGTGTCCCGCATCAAAACACATGGCGGTGACCAAGCCGAACATGGCGTAGCAGATGCTCTCTGCCGCATGGACCACACTGTTGTGTTGCCTCTACTCGGCGAGGTTGACAATGAGATTGCAGAGCGCTTGGCGCCGCGCAGGCACGTGCCATTGGAGCCGCACTGGGTGGAGGACGGATGGCACGCCCGTGCTAGCCTTAGGGCGTCGAGGTGATGTTTTGGTGTCAGCGACTGGATGGAGCGGGAGAGAAGGACGGGGAGCGGTTGGAGAAGGAACCGCCACAATGCACTAGAAGGAGGTGCGCCGTCTTGCCCATGCCAGTGGGCGCGCTCTTGGGGAAGGTTGCTAGCTCACGTGTGTGAGCTCAGCCGCAGACCGCGGCACCCACGCACATTATGTGTCTAGCGAGGATCGCGCCATTGCGTAGAACAAGGCTACGACGGGCGCGTCGTCGTGGGCGTGGGCTTGGCGCCGGTGGAAGACAAGATAGGTCGGGAGCATGCGGCCGTGCACGAAGAGGATGATTGCCGGCGACATTTTAGAGATAGAGAGAGGAGAAGTAGGGGAAAAGACTAGTCAAAGTGTCCATGTGGCTGGATGCAAAAAAAATGTCCATGTGGGCTTTTTTGCAAAACCAGCTCCTGACGAGCGGGATCCACCGCTAGGAAGTGTGTGCTGAAAACGCTCTAATCCGCCGATTACTTGTTTACGCAGATGATTATATGGGTCCTGATGTGGCAGTAATAGCATAATGCATTCAGCCCGCTATGGATTTCGCTAGTTTTGACTACGGTTATTGTTGCAGAGAAGCTAATGTGGTTGTTGCTGATAGCTTAGCTAAATTTTCTTGTGTTTCTAACTCGTCTGAACTCTGTGACTTTACTATCCTCGACTTATTCTTCCCCATATTGTAAACGATATGTCAATTGTTTAAGGAATAAAATGTATGATGTTCACAAAAAGAAAGAAAACTCGACGGTGACCAACGATAGCCGAAATGAACCAAGATTGCAATCTGTGTATGTGGGCGAGCAAGCGAGTGCATCGCATGGATGGGAGGTTATCCACATGGGAGGATAAGATATGCCATGCGGCGGCACCGCAGTGGCCGGCACAAATCACCCACTTGGCTGGAGATAGATGATCCGCCTATCTCCGCTCGCCATCCCGACCAGGGCCGGTTGCACCTTATTTCGCCTTACACCTCGCCATCGACTCACATACTTTTGCTGGCCGGCCGGAGCCACACGACCACAAGGAAGGAGCTAAGCTAGCACCGACAAACAGCCCTTGCTGCCGTCCCGATGGCAAGCACCAAAATGGCGTCGGCCACCTCCAGATTCATGCTGGCGGCGGGCATCCCCAGCGGCACCAACGGCGGCGTGAGCAGCCGCGTCAGCTTCGTCCCCTCCAACCGACTGGGCTTGAAGCTCGTGGCCCGCGCCGAGGAGGAGCCCACTGCCGCCGCGCCGGCGGAACCAGCACCGGCCGCGGAGGAGAAACCGGACGCCGCCGTGGCCACCAAGGAGCCCGCCAAAGCCAAGCCGCCGCCGAGGGGACCCAAGAGGGGAACCAAGGTACGTCAGTACACTCCATTGTTAGCATCTCTGTGAAGCGGCTGGGGCAATCGTGGCTCAACTCTTGCCTGAAATGAAATATGATCAGGTGAAGATTCTGAGGAGGGAGTCCTACTGGTACAACGGGACCGGATCCGTCGTCACGGTTGATCAGGTAACCAACGGGCTTGTCCCCTCCAATCTTCACTTCTTGCAAATGCAATGGAATGCTTCTGTTAGTGTAGTGAACTCGATCACCAAATACTGATGGATGGCGCGTGTAGGATCCCAACACCCGTTACCCGGTGGTGGTGCGTTTCGCCAAGGTGAACTACGCCGGCGTGTCGACCAACAACTACGCCCTGGACGAGATCAAGGAGGTTGCTGCTTAAACGATCGAAGCTGCCGCGTGTGCTCCATCCAATGTTTGTATCAGTAGCTCGTCAAGTGACGATGTGAATGTTAGCCTCTCACAAACCTTATGTGTAATACCTCTGCGATTATATGTATTTGCCTGCTTCCTCATGGACCTAATAATCTCCTCCTGTTGCTTAAGATGATTGCATTCTTGCTCACTTTTGTACAAAAGATCGGTTGTTCATGTTACCGGAAGGCTACACAGAGCAATACAGCATGCACAGAACAACAAGGTTCACAAAGACATATCCAGTCGATTATTGATTTCTTTTTAGTCAAGATTGGACATTATTGATCAAATCGGTTACATCTCTAACGGATCCCCTACGATCCTTTAGTGGAGGTGCAATCCTTTAGTGGACGACAAATTATCCTCCTCGGCCTGAAAACTTCGGCCAAGTATCTCAAATATACTCGACCGAGGCCGGGCGGAGTAAAATTTTCTTTTACCCTTTCTCCCGCCCGAGCGGCTATCCTGTCGCCGTTTCCCCCTACTCGCCGCAGCACCCACCAATGCCCTCGATTCCGGATGGGATGGAGAGGCAAGATCCTTCCGCCACCGCCACCGGGGCTTCACTGCCGAAAACGACCCCGCGCCGCCGCCCGCACCAAAAAAGAGGTTGGGCACCAAAACCTCCTCAGGGCCACCTCACCGGCAACCACCGCCGGTAGCAAGGTCGGTGGCAAGGCTGTTGCATCTTCGACGGTTCACCGCCCTCCTACTGCTCTAGCCATCGGTAAGCGGGCAAGGAAGTAGACAACCGCTATGTCTCCGGTGACGGCAGGCCGCCCTCCCACTGCTCCAGCCGCGGCAAGAGGGCAAGGAAGCAGACGACAATGTGTCGGCACTCGTCGATGACGTGGCGAAGAAGAAGAACAAGAAGGTGCCTTCGGTGCCTCGCCCTCGTCCGGTGCCATGGACCCCGTCTCAGGCCACCGCTACGGCTACTCCTCCTATGCGTCCGACCGCCGTTGCCGGCAACAAGGATTGTGGCTGCCAAGTGGTCGATGAAATGCCATCAAGGTAATAAAATGTCTTTTCATTTCGGCTAATGCATTGTCTGGTGGTGGTGTTGTCATAGTGCGGAGATGAACGCAACTAAATTCTTTTCGTTGTTAAGGAGCCACGTATGCTTGGGCTTGAAGATTTCAACTATGACTCGGTGTTTGATCATCAAGTGCTCAAAGAGGAGGCCAAGGCCGAAGATGTTGACGATCACATGGAGACACAATCAACAAGGAAGCCACCATCAAGAGCAAAGACTCACAACTATTCTCAAGATGAAGATGTACCTTTGTGTTAGGCTTGGATGAACATCTCCCTTGATGCATTGGTTTGAACAGATCAATCAAAGGAACGGTTTTGAGGGAGGATTGCCGAGTACTACAACAACATCATGGATGTCACATCGAGCCGCAACCAAGGTTCTCTTGGGCACCATTGGGGTACCATCCAAGATCAATCAAAGGAACAGACCAATGCAACCTCATGAACATGATAGACCATTGTATTGATTAAGTCAACCATGTGCCACCGGGCGGTGTGCAAGTCTCGGAGTATGGGCCTATCATCCAAGACCTTTTCAAGCAATGCAACAAGAAGCACGGTCACATGCCCTTCACATTGTACCATTGCTACAGATAACTTTGCACCAATCAGAAGTGGATTAGAACAAACTCCGAGACCACATCAAAGAGATCAAGGTTAAGCATACCCATTGAGGATGAGACGAGGAGGCTGAAGATCCACTAAGAGATCGGATGGCAAAAAGATTGCAAAAGAGAGGAAGAGGAGAGGAGCATTTGACAACACATACAAAGAAGAGCTTGTGTCCATGATTGAGACCAAGAAAGCCTTGGAGGTTGAACGCAAAGAAGAGAGGGCGCGAGATGGAATGAGCTCAAGTTGGAGGTCAAAGTTGGCCTCGAAGAAAGAAAGTTGAAGGCGGGGGAACGTAGGCTTGCACTCGAGGAGGAGTGGATTTGAAACGAAATGTAGACCGGAGAATGTGCTATCATGTTCATGAACCCAACCACAATGGATGGCATGGAAAACAAGTTTTGGGGGCTCACTCCTGGAGAGATCTTGACCCAAACAGAGGTCTCTCTTCGAAATGGTGATGGTGTTGTCTGTGTGGATGATGGTGGTGGTGGCCGTGTGGATGGTGGTGGTGGTGGCCATGTAGATGGGGTGCCTGTGGAGATGGTGGTGATGATGGAGGTGGTCATGATTTCTTTGGTGAGGATGGTGTTTGAGTTCGTGTTGCATGTCTTTGGTTGGGCTCGAGTAGCCACATAAAACATGCTATGGTGTGGTGATTTTGGATTCAACTTGATCGATGTGATGCCTTTTGGATGAAATATTCACGTGTTTTAATTTGAATTGCTCGATTCGTGCATATTTATGCGTGTTCATGGTTTATATGTTGTGTATGTTTATCTTGAAATATTCGAATGATTGATAATATACGGTAAAATTATTTGAAATGTATGCGACTAGGCAAAAAGAATTAAGAAAAATATATATTCTACTCTAAATATAGGGGATCAGTTACGTCCGTCCCTCGTTAGAGGATAGGTATCCTCCTCTAAAGACACTCGACCATATCCTCTCTAACAGATAGGGGGCTGGTTAGAGCTACCCTAAGTAATGCATATTTTTATGTTACACTCTTCAACTTTACCGAGCTTGGTCGTATGATAGAACTAGTAATTCTAAAATATGATCCATTTTGGAACGATGCTAGCAGCATCGTTCGCAATCTACTCAAATGGCATCCATCACCTAACCATTTTGGGAGAAACTAGAGTATGCAGCTACTAGCTCCAGCATAAACTACACTCGATTTGGTCTCGAGCCATGACCGTCATCCTGCTGCTCCCCGTTCTCGTCCTCGTCAAGCTCAGGCGACACCGCCGTCGAACCTGCCTCCAGGGCCATGGTAGCTGGTGGTGATCGACATCATGCACCACCTTGTGGGCGCGCTCTCGCACTGTCCTCCAGCATGGGCCACTCATTCTGCTCTGCATAGGAAACCTCCCTATGGTCGTGGCCTCGTTGGCAGGAGCGGCAAGGGAGATGATGAAGAGCCATGACACCTTCTTGGCCATGCGGACGCGCACCAACGCCATCGCCATGTTCATCGCCGGCAACCTCCACACCGACCTCACACCCCGAGGTCCGTAAGCTCTATGCCACGGGGCAGCTTGGCGTGCGGTGGATTTGGTCATTCCATGCGGTGTGCGAGGCCGAGGCGGCCGCCCTCGTACCATCCATGGCCACAACAATGTCGTTGTGAAACCACAGAGCTTATAAAAAACTTAAACAATTTGGCCAAACGAAATGACACAATTCTTGAAAGTAATCTCCATGATGTTCACCTTGGTAGACGAACTCAAATTCCCCAACCGACTAGGCCTGAATCAATGTTTTCCAGTGAAAATTTTCACACCCTTCATCGATCATGAGGGTTCTATGCTGATCAAAAACCTCCCCGTTCAAGAGCACATACCAGCTACAACCCGTGTCCGTGACATGCAGGATTTCCCATGGCATGTTGGCCTGGTGTTCTTCCACCCTTCAGGAAAACCAGGTACAATCTGAACGAGTTATCTTATAGGAAATATTCTAAGACCGCACACGAATTGTTCAATCTCATACACTCTATCCTTAGAGTTATGGTTAAGAGGACATTTGGAGCTTTGAGAGAATATATATAAGATCCTGGATCAGAAACCATTCCGGCCCTTTCCTGACCCAAGTTAGACTTGTTCTTGCATGTTGCATTTCTCCATAACTAGATCCTAAAATGGGGTTCTGATGAGCTTGTAACGCAGGAGAAAGATGTGACAACTGATGATGTTGAAAACCCTAGTCATTGTGTGGAGGCATATGACAATGAAACTTAGAAAAGTAAAAGGTTGGAGTGGTCTGAGGCAATACAGGCAAACAAACGTAACACAAGGATCTGAAGAAGAAGAAGAAGAAGAAGAAGAAGAAGTAGAGGAGGATGGACTTCACCCTATTCTACGTCAATGAACTTTCTCCTATTGAGACGTATGGCTGTTAATTTGTACTGCAATTTATTGATATTTATTTTGTAATGCATATGTAGTGTAATATGTGGTAAGGTCACTATTAGTGAGAAAGAGTGACCACAACCAAACGCCATGTGTTTGCACATTGACAATCATAACACATAATTGCCGCAAATATCAGGCATGAAACTGCTCAGTGTTGCAATGCGGGCTACCAAACTATATACAAAACATAGGTTTTGGCCTATATTCACTCAGCCAGGGCCACCTCAGCCACAAGTGCAAATAACACAAGAATAATGCAACCTGCCAAATGCCCCCATAAAGCATCTACAGCCCGTCTCCTCAAATGCAACCTATACGTCCAGGAGGACGACTCAATCAATGACTGGTCACAAAATCATAACCCAATCGGATTCCTCAAACGGGCCTTATACGTCTGGACTGACCGACACTCCTCATACCCATCCCATATCCAGGGTGGATATGAGGAAGAGCAATTGCGCCTGCCACTTCAGACTGACGTGGATGACCCACGTGGACACACGTCAAAACCTATCAGCCTAGTGAGGATGCATTCATGTCGCCGCTCCGGCACGCCTCCCAAGGGGCTAAATCTGGCTATTTTAGCTGGGCGATGAGCCTCAACCCTAGACACTCCCATAGCATTCACACTCCAAGCTTGCCGCCCGCCGACAACCATGGTCTGCCAACAAATCACCACGTACAAGATGCTCACTCTGTAGTGGTGGGTGAAGATCGAGGCACGGCGCGCCGCTCACATCATCACCGGCTTACGTCCGGACTCTCCGAAGTAGGACGAGGCAGAGAAGGCGTCGCTAGAGTAGGAGGAGGCGGAGCAGCAAACACGGGATGCGAAAACAGATGAAGAGGAGGAGGTGGGCGGCGAGGCGAATCTGGCGCTTCCTTCGACCAG